TGGAGAAACTGGAAGGCCAAACTCCAGGACCCTGAGCCTGGGCAGTTTCCAGAGCTGCTCCCTGCCTCTGGGCCCGGAACAAATCAACTTTCTTCCTCTGCGACACCATCTCTTTTTATGTGCCTGGTGACCTCCTCTGTGCTGGCCATTGGTGAGACTAGATGAGGAAAGCCACCTGCCAGAAACGGAGTATTGCAAAACATGGTCTCATTATTGCAGAATTGACATCATCCTTGAGAAATTCTGTCAGCTTTGCCTCATTCATTTAATCATAAATGTAAGCTTGCCTTTTTTTTTTAATTTTTGTTTTATTTTTTATTTTGCTTTTTATCCCCCCCCCAACTGTTTCCGAATTTACATTTTTCTCCCTGTAAGAAAAACGATAATCTTCGAATTGGCATTTGCAGTGTCCTCTCCTCTTCTTGTTCTGGAAGAGTGTACTGGTGTTAAAGAGGACTAACGTCTAATGTGAGGTCCAAAAGCACCACCAACGATGAGCATGAGATATCACATCACCATGAACTTATGTGTCAACTGAGATTGAGATACATTTTTCTTTAAAATATGTGGGAGTCTCCCTGCCAATTAAGAATCACTGAAATAATTCAGCAGCTGCTGCCTGAGGTTGAATCTGAGATGACATTGGTACTCTAACAGCTTTACTGAAGCATGATTATATACCATAAAATTCACCCATCATAAACATACAGTTCAATGAGTTCAGCACATTTAGAGCATCGTGTAGCCATTACCAGCGAACATTTCCATCACTCCAAAAGGAAACCTTGGACCGGCTTCTGGTTACACCCCACTGCCTCCTCCAGCCCTGGGCACCTGCAGATCTGGACTCTATAGACTTATCTTTACTAAGCTTTTCATCTAAGTGGAATTCTACAATATGAGCATTTGTACATGGCTTCTTTCATTTAGTCTAATGTTTTTGAAGTTTATCGATAGCATCACTTATATTCAGAATTCATTCTTTTTTGTCACTGCGTAGTATTCCATGATAGGGCCCTATCACCATCTGTGGCCTGTTCACCAGTTGACAAACATTTGGGTTGTTTCCAGTTTGAGGCTCTCGTAAGTGGTGGTGCTATGGATCTCTGCACACATGTCCCTGGGTGGACATGTTTTTCTTTTTCTTGGACAGATTCCCAAGAGCAGAATTTCTGGGTCGGCTGGTAAGTTTATGTTTCACATTTCAAACAAATTGCCAAACTGTTCTCCAGCATGGCTACTCCATTTTCTATTCCCACAGCAAGGAATGAGGGTTTTCGTCTCTCCACACCCTGGCCAACATTTGGTATTAACTATTTTTAAAATCTTAGCTATTCTAGTAGGTACATAGTGGTTTTAATCTGTATTTTCTTAATAACTAATCATGTTGAGCATCTTTTCAGGCATCCTTCAGCTGTCCGTGCATCTTCTTTGGTGAAATGTCTACTGCAGTATTTTGTTCATTTTAAAATCAGGTTGTTCATCTTCTTACTGAGTTGAAAGGTTTACTTTTATTTTTTTTTAAATTTAAAAACTTTGATAGGATTTTAATTTTGTAAATCCAATTTGAAAAGTAAGCAGTTGGTTAAGATGGTTTATACTCATAGCATTCATACCTTTAAAGTCCTTGCTCCTGAGCCTTTAAATCTGTAGTCCTGCACATTGTCCCAAGACTGGGGAGGCAGGCACCCTTCATTTCAGAAGAAGCTATCACTACCCAGAGAAGAAAGGTGAGGGGCTCCGGTTACCCATTTTTTGGATGTAAAGCCAGGATATGGAGTGTGCCCCCACTGGAGACAGGGAGACTAAGGGGAAGATTTCTCTCTCCCCAGGGCTCAGTGTGGGGCCTGGTATTGTCCCAAGGCCTGCCAGGAAGCCGAACTGATGTGGACCTTGGACCTAGGCCTTGGACCTGTGTTTGGTCGAAGGGTGTGCTTGTTTGCTGGGTTGGGAGCCAGGGGCCCAGGTGCCCGGAGATGATGGTCAGAGGGTCCTGTTGGCTTTGGCTTGGCTTCTCATCCTTTGGGCAGCTGAAATTCACAGGTGGTTCTCCTGGCAGCGGGGCACCTTGTCTTTTCTCACTTCATAAAGATTTCTGTCTAGGGCCTCCACTGTGGCGGTCCAGCTGTACCTCCTCAACCTTGGTGACCCCGCCCGGCAGGAAGATTCACTGCCCACACGTGCCTTCAGGCGCTTCGGGCTCTGGGCCTGCGTCTGGGCAACCGTGGAGGTCCTGGGCCTGCACAAGTGCCAAACTTTCCCGGGAGACTGGAAACACTCCTTCCTCCCCTGGGGCAATGGACCTTTGCTGATCGCTACACCAGATGGGCAGCCCCAGACTCTCATTGGATTGGTGGGAGGAAGCTGCAGAATGTTCTCTGTTACCCTGCTCCAGAGAGAGCTACGGCTCTTGGAATATGGGGGGATTTTTAGTTGAATATTAAAATCTCGCAGGAGCCATTTTTCACTTGTTTCTCACCATTGTCCCTCCGGGAATGTTTGATCTCTCCCTTTCCCTTTGTGGCCCTGGAGGCCTCTAAAGTGAAGCCACCCCAGGTGGAGGGCCTGAGCCCATGGGGCTGGGCTCCTTAGACTGTGAATTCTGTATCCAGAGGAGCAACCAAATGTGCCTTGCAGCTGCCACAAGCCTTCATTCAGTGGCTCATTGAATTCAGTGGAAAGAGGTGTTAATAGAGTCAGGGGAAGTGATGCTATTAAAAAAAGCGACATTGTGTGGTTCTGCTCTGTGTTTATTCTCCTTCAATGACTTCCAGATCAAACTTACACGGTTGTGCATCAAAAGATGCCTGTTCTGGACTCCGGTTGGAGGCAAACAAGCTATCCAGCAAGTTCACTCCTCTCCCCCTGCCCGTATCTTGTTCCTAGGGATGATTGCCAGCTGGTGCAGGGTCGCCTAAGCCCCGGTAGGAGCTGGGTCTTGGTGTCAGCAGAGGAGAATAATAGCAGGGTCATGTGTCACCCGACGGTGGGGCTGCTGGCCTCAGCCTCCGGCCATGATTAGGGTTTCTCTAGAGCTCCAGTCTGAAGATCCCAAGGGTGGGGTGTGAGTCTGATGCTCAAGAAAGGGATCAGAACTCTGTGTTTTTCCTCCCTCCCTGATAAGATGCAGGGAAGTCGGCCAAAGGTTTTGGGAGCTCCAAATGGCGGCGGGTGGTGGGGGGTTTGTTATTAAGGCTGATCTGACTGGCGTCGCAGAGACTCTCTGAGAACTTGCTTTCTCCATAGTTAATGAACTCGGTGGAGGAGATTAAGAGGTATAACCTTCCAGCTATAAAATAAATAAGACATGGGGATGTAGTGTGCAACACAGGGACTATATCCAGTAATACTGTGACACCTTGGTGCTGTGAGAGAGGGAACTAGACTTACTGGGGTGATCATTTTGTAACGAACATGAACACCAACTCACTATGTTATACACCTGAAACTAATACAATAGTGTATGTTGATTATTCTTCCATTAAAATAAATAAATACCAGTTATTATACCAATTATAATAACTGGTATTTATTCTTCTTAAAAATAAGAACTATTGGCAAAACAAACAAATATAAATAAATACATAGCAGTTAAATGAATAAAATGACCAAAAATTAGTTAGTGCTTGGAGAATGTAGTGTTCAATTGTACAAGATCTCTGGGGGATGGTGTAATCATCCCACTGCCTGAGACCACCGGGGCTCTTCTCCCCCCACCCCACCCCACCCCCGCCCCTGTCCAGGGAGAACACAGAGAAATCTCTAAACTATGCATTCTCAATGGAGGCAGAGATATCAAGAAGGGGAAGTTGATTGGGGGTGGGAGGAGGCAGGGGGACAAAAGAACTCTTGTTCTTTTTTCATATAAAGCACAGATACACATATAGTACAGAAGCAGATATACATTCAGTGTCTGTGTTATGAATATTTCATTAGGAAGGCGATTAGGAAGAAAAAGTCTAAAAATGCTCTTTAGCTGGGCAGTAATGAAAACAAGTTGAGAAACACTGACCTGCACTGAGGCTTTGGGGGATCTTGATGGAAGTAACCCAGAGTCCTGAAGGGCGGCAAAGTCTACACTCACTCCTGCCCTGCAGACATTCTTGCTCTGCAGAGAGCCGCCGACTCTGCTGGGACCCGGTGCGTTAGGACTTTGTTTCTGGGAACTTCGTGCTCCCGTCATCTACTGTAGAAATTTAAAAGCCAGTCGAGGCTTCAGTTTCTCACATCCCCTTCTATCTTGCTTGCCCCCCACCTTTCCCTGGGAATGGGCGGGCACGGTGTTTCATACTTAGAAGTATTCTAGGGATTCCTGATTCTCTCCAGTTCAGCATACTGGAGAGAGGATGGTCCTTCCTGCCTTTTCTTCCTTTTTAGGGGAGGATAGAGAAATAGCTAGGTGTTTGGGAGGGAATACAACACAGCCTCTTGTTTTCCTGAAGCTCTTCAATGAGGGCAACTAGGGTCTCGGCTGGTACCTTTCCACAAAAGGGTAGGAAGGAACTGGGGACACCAGGATTTGAGGCCACAATGTATGCCAGCCTTACCCTGACATGCCTGGCCCAAAGCTCAGGGCTGCTGGGGAAGGTACACACCCACCCCCACACCCCAGCTTTCCTGCGGGGAGAACCACGGCTGATAGTCATCATGCCGGGTCATGCGGGTTGATGATGAAGGGCCTTCCAAGACCATGACAGTTGAGTTCCCTTTTGTCCCACCCCTGGGATGGTGAACATACACCTGGATTTGTCTTACTGTTGGTGTCTCTTTGTGGTTCTTTTTTTTCTTCCTGTTCTTTCTCTCTTTCTTTCTTTCTTTCTTTCTTTCTTTCTTTCTTTCTTTCTTTCTTTCTT